AAGGACTAAAATGTATAATAGATAATGCGAAATAGGAAGAAAAGGGGCAAAGGGGAAGGGGAAGTGGGAGGGGTAGGGGAAAGGAAAGAAGGGAATGCAATTAATATGAGAAAATGAAAAAAGAAAACAAAGTCTTTGTAAATAGGGAGGGATGGAGGGGTTGAAGGGAGGGCAGGAAGGGGGAAAAAATATGAACCAAGAGAGTATGTAAAGGTGCATATCTCCAATGAAGAATGTCATTATATTGTATACCTAAAATGTACCAATAAAAGGATATACAAAAAAAAGATATCTAATGTGGTCAAATTCATAGAATCAGAGTGAAATGGTGGTTTTAGGAGCTGGGGGCCGGGGAGAGTGAGGAGCTCTTTAATAGGCACAGAGATCCAGTTTGGGAAGATGACAGTTTTGGAGGAGTGAATGATGCTGATGGCTGCAAAGCAATATGATGTATTTTATACACTTAGTGTGATTAGGATGATAAATTTCATGTGATATATATTTTACCAGAATCAAAAATAATAGTTTAAGAAATTCGACATAATACACCATATAAATAAACCAAAAAAGTAAAACCATATAATTAATAATAGGCCCAGGAAAAAGCACTTACAAATACCCAAAATCCACTCCTAATAAAAATTCTCAGGGGCTGGGGATTTAGCTCAGTGGTTCCACTACCTGCCTCTAAAACTCAAGGTCCCAAGTTCCATCCCTGGTACCAAAAATAAAAATTCTCAGCATGCTGGAAGAACGGAAGCTTCTCAACCCACTTAAGAGCATCTTGTTTAAAATCACAGCTGACATCATAACTAATGACTGCTTTACTACTCAGATCAGATCCAAGGCCAGGTTAGTTGGGCTTATCACTTCTATTCAACTTTGTTTTATTGGTCTTATCAGTATAATCAAGCAAAAGAAAAAATAAACAGCAGCCAGATGCAAAGATAGCAGTAATATTTTCTCATTTTCAGATAACATTATCATCTATGTCAAATTTCAAAGGAATCTACAAAAATTTCCTAAAACAAATGAGCAAGTTTAGCATAGTTCAATGATATAAAAATCAACAATCAAAATGCACAGTTTTATGGGTATAGGAGTGTAGCTCAATGGTAGAGTGCACAAGACCCTAGAGTCAATCGTCAACACTAAAAAAAAAAAAAAAAAAAACCCCACCTAATTTCTGTATATTTACAATGAATCATTGGATAATAGAAAAAAAAATCATTCCAGTAGCATCAAAAAATACAATAATCACAGAAAAAATTGAAAAAAGTCTTGCAATTGAAAATTGCAAGACATTGATGAGAAATATTATAGAAGACAAAAATAGATATAACTATTAGTCATGAATTAGAAAGCCCAAAATTGTTAAAAATGTCAGTTCTCCCAAACTGATCTATAAATTATAGTCTCAATCAAAATCCCAGCAGACTTTTTTCTAGAAACTGGCAAACTGATGCTAAAATTCATGTGGATATGTAAAAAGATCTAGAACAGCCAAAACAACTTAGAAAAAATAAAAGAGTTAACTAATACTACCTATTTCAAGACTTAATGCAAAGCTATGTGTGATAGTTAACTGATTGTGTCAATTTGAGTTAGAAAGGCCCAAACAAATTGGATTAGCATAGTTCTGGGCATGGCTGAAGAGATTTACTGAAGACAGAAGACCCATCCTGCGTATGAGTGGCACCAACAAACAGGCATGGCACCTGAATGAAATAAGAGAAACAAAGAAAGAAGACTCCAAACTGCTGCTTCGAAGGAGCTCGTCTTCCAGCTTTCAATGCAGATTTTGCGGCCTCCAGAAACGGACTCACCTGGGGCCCTTTGACGTTGAATTGGATCCTAAGGGTCTTCAGTGGTGCAGGCGGCCATTTTGCACTCTTACACAACCGACTCTGCAGGCAGTCATTGTAAGCCTACCTTGTAAATCTTTAAAATAATATTTGTATATCTTATTTTAAATCTGTTTCTCTAGTAAGCACGGACTGATACTGTTGTCCCAACAAATGGACAGCGAGTCAAAAGATTGAATGCCAAGCTTTTATTTCGCCGTCCAGGGTCCAATCTCAAGGACGCAGCCCCAGAGAAGGACCCCGGACGTCTTTCAGCTGCAGTTTTTAAGCAGTTTCATAAGCAGGAAGTTGGCTCTCTCTCGAGCTCCAGTGGCCAATCAGTTAGCCCGGTAAGCGGTGAGGGCGAGGGCGGGGGCGGCAAGCGCAGTTACAGAAGCAAAACGACCGCTACGGGAACGGTACATTTTGCAGTTTTTCTCAGAACACTTATCTTGACAACAGCTCTTATCTTGACACACTACCTGGGGGTTCAGGCAGAGGTCAGTGCCATGCATAAATGGAGATTTTACTAAAAATGGAGGTACAGAGGCTAGCTTGACTCGGGCCTCACCATACACTATGATAATCAAATAATTCACAAATAGATCAGTGGAAGAGAGTAGAAAGTCCAGAAATAGATGCGTACATAATGAACAATGTTCTTCCTCTTCTTCCATCTCTTCTTCAAAAGTGCAAAGACAATTCGGTGGAGAAAAAGATAATTTGTTCAGCAATCAGATATCTATAAGCAAGAAAATACATCCAGAAAAAAACTGTAACCGAAGCCTAACCATGGTTTAAAAAAAAATGTTTTAAACAAACCCAAAGCAAGGGACATTCCACAAAATACTTGGCCAGTACTCCTCAAAACTACCACAGTCAGGGCCAGGGATTTAGCTTAGTGGTTCCGCCACCTGCTTCGCAAGCGCAAAATTAAGCGCAAGGACCCGAGTTCGATCCCCGGCACAAATACATACATACATACATACATACATACATACATACATATATACATACATATATACATACATACATACCACAGTCTTCAAAAACAAGGAAATTCTGATAAACGGTCACAGTTTAGTTTAGAGGTGCTTAAGGGATCAATATGACCAAATGCAATGTGGTATTCTGAATGGCATCTTCTGAAAGAAAAAGGACATTAGGTAAAAACCAATTAAATGTGAATAAAATATAGACTTTAGTTCATCACAATGCATCAATATTTGATCGTGTGTTGTGATAAGTGTGGTATAGTAACATAATCTTAAACATATGGGAAACTGGCCAGGCGTGGTGGTGCACACCTGTAATCCCAGCACTCCAGAGGCTGAGGCAGGAGGATCGAAGCAAGTTCAAGGCCACCGTGGGCTACATAGTGAGTTCGGGACCAGTCTGAACTCCAAAGCAAAACCCTGTCTCAAAAAAAAGAAAAGGGAAACTGGATCCAGGGTATTTTGGAAATCTCTGTACTAGTTTCTTGCTACCTTTCTGTAAATACAAATCTATTCTTTAAAAGGTTTATTAAAGCTGAGTGTGGTGGCACATGCCTGTTATCCCAGGGCTCGAGCAGCTGAAGCAGAAGGACTGCAGAAAGGTCAAGGCCAGCCTGGGCTACATAGTGAAGACCCTATCTCAAAAAACTAAACAAACAAAAAAAACTAAACAAAAAAAGTTTATTAAAAAAAATAATCCACAGATTGGAAGAAAAATATTTGCAAAGCATATATCTGATAAAAGACTTTTATTCAAAATATATTTTTAAAACTTTTAAAACTCAATCATGAGGAAGAAACATTTTTTAGTGGGCAAAGATTTTTGCAAGGAAAGTATGTAGATGGCCAAAAGGCACAGGAAAAGGCATTCAACATCATTTCTGATTAAAATTAAACCTGCAGTTTAACTTACACACCCATTAAAATGGCAAAAGTGTAAAAGGTTGACCATACCAAGTGTCAGTGAGCGCACAGAAGAGTTAGGTACTCAGATGCTGCCAGTGGTACTGTGTGAGCATACTGCTACTTGGAGATATTATTTGCCAATTTCCTTTAAAAAGCAAACATACAACTACCATAGAACTCCCTATTCCATTCCTGGGTATTTATTCATGAGAAAAGAAAGCATACTTCCTATATTGTTTATATTTTTTAATTTTCTGTTTATTGTAATATTTCCACTTCTTAAAAAACCTTTCTGGCTGGGGAGGGGTGCCCTTCCCCAGGGTAGCCAATTTTTAGAGATAGTTTGAAATTATTCAAACTAGCCAATCCTCAAGTGTTTACCCTACTCTACTTGCAAAAATTCCAATACAGGCCAGGCTGTGGCCCAAGTCATCCCCTCCCTCCTACCCTTTCTCCCTCCTGATAATTGAAGTCAAAAAGTGTACAAGGTACCACTTTCCCACAGCCCAAGACTCCAATTCCTTTCAGTTAGGATTCTGTCAGAGAAGCAGAGCCACTCCAAATCTATATGGGGAAAGATTTGAGAGCTGCTTGAACAATCTCTGCCCACAGACTTGGAAGGGCCACATGTTATGTCTTCAGGGAGGCTGATAGGTGGGGAAGAGCAAGGACAAGGTGAGACCCTCAAGAAGGAAATGGAACCATGGGGTGTTCTTGCTGCCTGCTACTTGTCAATGTAGGTGTCCTGAGAAAGAAGCGGGGCCTTTCCTCACAAAGGTAATCACATACCTGTGCCATGTATGGAAGAAGCTGAAGGAGGAGCCAGGGAAAGGTGGAGGAATTGCAGGTCCAACTGCTTCTTCATGGCCATGAGGCAAGGCAGCAGAAAGGCAACAACTTGCATGAGCTACAAAGCCTACTGTCCTAAACTACTACCTGTAAGGAAAACCAAACAGACTCCTCTTTGCTTTCACCCCCCCCCTCCCAATTTTAGGCCAAATATCTCTGTGATCCACCCTAACTGGAAATATCCAGGGAAGGGAATGCTGGGAAACAAAATTTAGCCTAGCTTAGCTGACATATTACAAAGCCATGTCTCAGCCCAACTGCAAGTCCTGCCTTTTCTACAAAAGAGATCTCAAATCTGCCCCTCTCTCTACCTCACAATGATAGAGAAAAGTTTTAAAGTAAGGTTATTGGGCCAGGGATTTAGCTCATTGGTTTTGCCGCCTGCTGTGCAAGCGCAAGGACCCGAGTTTGATCCCCGGTACCAAAAATAAATAAATAAATAAAATAAAGTAAAGTTAGCAGATTAGCTATTAAAGTAGTTGTGGAAGCAAAATAGGCAGTGTATCCCTTTAAAAGCTTGCCTTAGCCCCTTGCTTTTGTTGTTTAAAGTGAAGGTTTATAGCTCCTTTGATCTGTAGCTCCACTATAGATAACATCTTACCTCTGAAGAACAAAGTGGAAATCCCTGAACAAACTTGTGATATATGTGCCGTAACTGTCATGTGTTTAGGACTGTAATCAGTGACAGAAACCACCTGTGTTTAACCATTAAACAGAACTTGGAACTTTATTTATTTAACAAAGACCGCTAGGGATGAGATAATGACTAACAAAAGTATAAAAGGTGACTAACAAAGAACGCGGCATGTGGACACTGACCAGACCAGTTTCTGGTGGTCCCGCCTGCTTGCGAGTAAAATTTTTATTATTTTACCCAAATTCTGTGTCTCCGTGCATTTCTTTCTGTGATTTTCTGGAACAACATGACACCACTTAACCCCAAACTGCCATCATCTTTTGTCGAGATGCCAGGAGTGGGCGCCTAATTTGTCTTTGTGTTTTCATTTTTGTCCTACACATGAAGCCAAGTGGTTCTTTTTAACTAAAGTCACTAAGTAACAAACTATTGCCATCAGTGGTCCCAACTTCCTGTATTCCTTTTCCCTTTCTCATTCTCAGGCCATGGCCTTCACTTTGCATTCCTTTGATTTTGCTTGTTTTTCAGGACTGGATGCTGACCCCAAGAATTGACTTAAAACTGAGTGCTGTACACAGAACCAAACAGAAAGTGATATTTTCAATCCCTCTTTTGAATCTGATGCTATGTGCAGGGCAATCAGAAAAATGCTATTTTCAATCCTTCATTTACATCTGGCAGGAAACCAAGTGAGTCTTTCCATAGGGCAGTTTAATTCTGATACCAAGCCAAGTAAGTTTTTGATAGGACAACTGTCCCAATGCCTTATTTGTGTGAAGAAGCCAATCGAGAAATTTTGGGTACAAAAGACTTATCCCTGGAGCTGCTGTGAATCTATCACCCCACTCTTACCCTGTGGAACATACTTCTTTTCTATCTTAAATGTACATCTTCTCTGCCTTTTCTGAGTGTCTTGTTCAGTTCTATGTTCAGGAGACGAAGAACCTGGAAAGATGCCCTGTGGAACCCTCCATCTGTTAACAATCTGCAGATGGACTCTTAGGTTGTTTGTCCTGAATTTTATTAAGGAGAAAATTATGTCCTAGTAAGTGTTACCTCCTGAATCTCTCCCTACCACGCTGATGGACTTTCTATTAAAGTCATCTACATCTCCAGGATTAGTTTTTACCAGGTTATGCATGCAAAAAAGGAATATCATACTAGTGATGCCTCACCAAATTTTTGTTTTTTATATTTCTCTCTTCTCTACTCACTTTGATTTCCTCAAGGGCATTGCTTGTGTACCACTTGGGGATTACATTCATTTATGAATAGCCCAGCAAAAGAGACCTAAGTAACTTAAATGAAAGAATACTCTTTATCTTGCAGAAAATAAGTGAAGAAGTAGATACTCCAAGGCTAGTATGGTGGTTCCATTACCAAAATACTGGGGTCATGTCCCATGGTGACAAAGAATGAAACTGAGGAAGGAGACTAGGACAGACCTGAGGATCAGTGGAACAGATTAGAAGATGCAGAAACAACTCCAGGAACACTCAGCCACCTCACCATTGACAAAGGGGCCAAACACCCTCACTGGAGGAAAGATAGCCTCTTTAATAAATGGTGCTGGAAAAATTGGGCTTCACCTTGTCAAAGATTAAAACTAGACCTGTATCTCTCACCATGCACTAAACTAAAATTGAAATGGATCAAAGATCTAAATATTAAAACAGAAACACTAAACCAGCTGGAACAGAGGTTAGGTAGAACTCTTGAAGACATTGGTGTAGGAAAAAATTTCATGAACAAAACCTCAGGAGCACAGGAACTAGCACAAAGTATCCACAACTGGGATGTCATCTTATTAAAAAGCTTCTGGGGGCTGGGGATTTAGCTCAGTGTTTCTATCTCTGCCTCAAAAGTGCAAGGTTCCCAGTTCAATCCCTGGTACCAAAAAAAAAGCTTCTGCACAGCAAGAGAAACCACCAACAGAGTGAAGAGACAACCCATAATGTGGGAAAAAATTTTTACCAGCTGGTCCTCAGACAAAGGTCTACTATGTAAAATATATAAAGAACTTTTAAAAATCAGACCTCCCAAATTTAAAGACCCAATACAAAAATGGCCATCTGAAATGAACAGACATTTCTCAGACAAAGAAATAGAAACATCAAATAAACATGAAAAAATGTTCAGCATCACTGGTCCTTCAAGAGATGCAAATGAAAACAACACTGAGATTCCACCTCACTCCAGAAAGAATGGCTACCAACAAGAAATCAACTAATAACACTGCCTTGTAAACACAAGATTGTGAGTTCGATCCTCAGTACCTAAAAAACAAAAACAAACACAGAAATCAATCAACAGCAAATGCTGGTGGGGTTGTGGGGAAAAAGAAACCCTTCTCCACTGTTGGTGGGAGTGTAGACTGGTGCAACCACTGTGGAAATTAGTGTGGAGATTCCTCAAAAGTCTGGAAAGGACCAACTACTCACTACAACACCACATAACACATTTGATGAGCCCGCCAGGAGGTAACAAATGGAGCCATGACAAGGTAAGACTCTTTGGGAACTGTGCCTCTCTCTCTCTCTTTCTCTCTCTCTCTCTCTCTCTCACACACACACACACACAGGACTGGTGGACTGGTTTAGGTTTCTTTTTCTCTTTCTCCAATCCCTTTCATGTTCTTTCTGTCTTAGGATGGACAGGGAGAGACAGGGAGCTAAACAGTGGTAAAAATTAGTGGAAGCTGGGGATCCTCGTCCCTGCCTGCTCGCACCAGCAGCCACAAGAGAGCCCCAGGTCCCCATAGCTGCAGGCTTGGTTCGGGTCTCAATTGCACAGAGCCAGGCTGAGTCAGCAAATGTCTCTCTGGGCTAGAAAACAGCCCTCCCTGGGTGGGGGCAGCCCTGAGCATCCCATTGTGCCCCACAGCACCCCACAGTGCCTCATGGAAGGCAGTCTCTTTAAGGCCTGAAGCACCTATACCCAAGGACAGGGTGGAGACCGAGAGCCTCCAAATGGCACAAGGGCAGAGCCAAGTACCCTGCCAGAAAGAGACCCTTGGAGAGAGAGACAGTGGGAGCCACAGTCAGAGCCCTCATTTCACTTGGGGAATGGGCAGGATTGTTGCACAGAAAACCATGGTTCCTGATGCACTTGAAATCATGAGACAGGAATGCCTGGATGCCTGACGCAGGGCTGGGCCCCAAATGGTAGCTGGAGCAACACTTCCCCCACTCCCCCACAGTGCCACCAGTCCTAGAGCAATAGCCACTGCACACAGACACTCCCAGGGAGATTTAATCTCCCTGGCAGCTCCCACCTGTTTAAAAATGAATGCCACCTGTTTAAAAGAACCACTACCTGTTTAAAGGTACTGGCACAAGCATTGCACAGCAGTATAGGGCTGTCACTTTCTGCCACTCTCCTTCCCTTTGACCATTATTAGGGGGAGCTGTTGCCTTTCAAATAATTCATTCATTTATAAATGATGACTGATTAGTTTGTTTGACTAAGAAAGATTTAAGAGACATTAGGGCAAGTGTTTAATTCAGATATTTTCAAGCTTTTGAATATAATTTGTTTACCTACTAAAAATAGCTATAGTTATTTTCCATTGAAATACCATCTTATTGTAAATTATCTGTAGATAATTGGGTGATTAGGTAAAAATGTATATCTGCCCTGTATAGTGCATGAACAAGAGATTTCTCATGTTTCCATTAGAGTAATACACTTGCTTTAATTCTTAAGCAAAAGTGAACATGATATAAGAATATATGACAACTTACTGGTGAAAAATACATTTAAAGTTATTTTAAGTGTATTTATTTGTAAAAACAAATTGGTTATATTATGCTTACTGTTCTAATCTGGTGGTGAAACTATCCTTCAGAATGTGCAAGTACTCTAGATTTTCAAAACTGAATGAGAAAAAATTGTATAACCATCTTGCTGTTCAAAGTATTCTTGTGCTTTCTTAGGCAAAATAATTAAAATGTCTGTAAAGTCTTGTTCTAAGACCATCTTGGGATAGTTGTTATTTTATTCTTCACTAGTGAAAGAGTGTCAAACCATTTCATAACAAGGAGCTTGAAAGATCTTGTAATTTATAGTCTGGAGACTATCTAGGTTGCTAATTGCTCCTCAGTTTGTGATTTACTGAGCATTTGCTAAGCATGGAGATTCATGCTTTGAGTATACGTAATTATTCAGGTCTAACCCATCTAATTGTATCAGTAGCAACTCTCCACTTTCCTTTCTTGTTCACAAGTACTTTTCATTTTCTAGGGACTTGGAAGGTCTAGGGACCTCTTACTGCTGAGAAGAAATAAGCTACTTGGGGCTGGGGATTTAGCTCAGTGGTTCTACTGCCTGCCTTGCAAGTGCAAGGTCCTGAGTTTGATCCCTGGTACCAAAAAAAGGAAAAGAAAAGAAATAAGCTACACTTCAGAGGACGAGAGGTTGAGGGAAACAGGCAGGTAAGAAAAAAATGAAAAGACTTAGGCTGGACTTACTAAAGTTGGAGTTCCAATGCCTCATTTAACTCCTGGCTGGGTTGCCAAGAGAAAATGTTACCAGACCAGATCAGAAGAAGTTCCCAGTGCTGAGAAAAGGAACCTAATCCACCATAACCACAGAATAGGTTTGTAAGTTCACTGCCTTCCATTGTGGAAGAAGAATTTTGAGAACTAGTCGGCAAGAGGCATAGGAAGGGTTTTATTAGGCAGAAAGTCAAAAGTACACACTCAAAGAAATAGAGTGCAGGCCATTAAGAGAGGCACCTTGTTCCCTGGAAATGGGAACAATTATGCTTCTCTCAAGGGGATGGAAATTCCAGAAAAAAGTGGTCCATTCCATCCCACCTCCCCAAGGGCTCTATCCCATTTTGCAGGCATGTGCCTAGGTTTTAAAAATAGCCAATTTAGACATTCTTTGGATTCTGTCAACCTGTTCCTTTATCTTAGGATCATATTCCTGCTCTTTACTTTCTCAATTAAGGCAAATTATTGATTTTCAGCATTCCTGAGGAATTTGGGGTGTGATGGTCTGGAAATAAAGGAGCCAAAATTTAACCAAGGGAATGATGATATGGATTGCTTTGGATAATTTTGACTGGGTCTCAAAGTTGCTGTCTTCTAAAAAGTACAATATTTTTAGTTATGATTTCTTTGTTGCCTTTCTACCTATATTTTACTTCCTCTATCCTAACTCATTAGGCATCAGTGTCCTTTTTCTATATGTACTGCAGGTTATGACCTATCATCTTAACCTACTGATTAAGTTGTTCTTAGAAACAAGAGGTTAGTATAACAGTTCCTGCAAAGGGTTAGAGCAATAGTTATAAAGATTTTCAAGTAAAATGAAAAATAAATAACCAGAGCAAACAGCATTTTAAAATAACAATTATGATGACGTTATGGTACCAGGACCTTTTATTATATCTCTAACACTTTGAAAATTGTATTTTAGCATGAAATAACTTAACAGATTACCATTATCCAATTATAAAATATTAAATTATATAAGTAAATTTTTATCTAGACTTGGTGTGTTTTTAAAATAAATTATCTAAATAGAATGAACTTGCCTACAGATGTATTATATAGGTAACTATTGCCTAGTCTTTGTTAGTGTCATTTCCTGGAGTATATGGTGTTTTATGGGCATCTAATTATTTAATACAATAGGGAACACATAAACATCAGCCTGGAAAAAAAAACCTATCATTACAAACAGTTTTAGTCTGGAAGCCATCAATATGATGTCAACATAAATTTTGTATTTTAGAAGGCTTGTATGTCTAAGGAATATAAATATATTTTATATGCTAAGAAGTTAGCAATATTTAGCTTTATAGCTATATAGAAATCTTTTACATATATTATCTTTTACTTTGGGGGAAATTTTTATATTGCTTTAACAGGTTAACATAGGGTAACAACGACAAGAGTTAAAGGATACCTTTAGACCGCTAGAAATTTAGGAAACAGTGTTAATGACCATAAATAGAGTATAAAAGAGAGCATTTGTTGGCCACGTTAGATCCATTAGACTTATGTAATTTTAATTCTATAAACTTTTTAATATCAGACAAAGCTCAGAGTACCCCTCTTTAGTCCCATATATATGTATTCCCTTCTTTAGTCTCATATACAGATAGATAGATGTGCTATAACCTAAAAAAGTAGTTGTTTATAAACTGATAATCAAAGTTTTTATAACAAGCCAATATTTAAATAAACCTTAATTTTTAAAATTGTTTTAAGTAATCAATAGCCTAGAAGCAGAAAACACAAGAGATTATCTAGATAAAACACAAAACCTTCATTTTTAATCAAGCTTTTGGTTTACCAAAGAGCATTTTAGTATTTTTAAAGCTTTATTGCTTTAGACATAGAAAACCCTTTAACTTTTTAATTACACCCAACTTAATTACATGTAATAATTTTTCAAAAATAGTATTTATTGGCGTGGGGCACAGTGGGTCCCTCAGGGGATTTTGTTTTAGTGCATTCTTTTTATTTCTAATTATTTTATTAGTACATGTTTGCAGTACATGATTACATTCATCCTGGGGAACGTGGTACATGTACATAACACATTGTTTTAGTGAATTCTTGTACATGCTTTTTACACTAGTGATGATGAAATAAACATCCAGGAAGGTACAACGGTTCAGGAGAATATGGAACGCTTGAATTTGTACTGGAGCTACACTTGGGAAAATGTCTTTAAGGTGCTTGGCAAACTATGATTAGGTGATTCAGAAATCAGCAATGCCAAAGACAAGCAACCTTTGAATAACCAATTCCAGATAGCATGGATTGTGAACAGCAATTGTCGTAAACGCTAACAACCCCGAGAGACCGGAAGCCCACCCACCAAAGGAACTACGTTGCCCGTAAGGCCTTGCGCGCCGGGCCCGCGCTGTCGCGGGGCAACCTGGGAAATACAATCTGCGCTCGGGAAAGCGCTTTACCAAAACCGTACTAGCCAACATGGCGGCGCCCACTTCCTTCGCGTCCCTTCACTTTGCGTTTTGGCCGGGGCGGGGTTCTGGGCTTTAGGCAGTAAGTGGGGCCGACGGCGGGGGATTTCGGGAGGGACAGAGAAAGCGTAAGGACGGCGCTGGCGCTAAAGCCTGACGGGAGCAAGGCGTGGGCTGGCCCGGGCCTGTCAGGAGAACGCGCGGTCTCCTGGCGTTGGGTCCTGGTCTGGAACCTCGAGGACCTCTAATTCATCGGACCCCTGGGTCTGGTGCTGGCTCGGCGGGCTGGGGGGCCCAGGACTGGGCTGGAAAGAAGAAGACGGGAATCCAGACCATGGGCGCGAGGCCTGACTCGAGTTCCATTTCTTGTGCTTTTCTTCTGAGAAATAAGTTGAAAATAATTACATCTCAGCGGTTCCTGTCACTTAGAGAATTTGCTAGGGCCTTCATATTTTTCATCTTCACATGAGACCTGTCACATTCGATCCCCAGAACTCCATCATTAAACAGCAAGCCTTTCTTCCTCAAGGAACCTCCTCATGGCTCTGTAGTTTGGGAACAATGTACCAAACTGCTATAAAGATTAGTTTGAGCCATTTAATTCACTTAAATATCGTAATCTGGTACAAGGTACAGGTGTATGAGCACACGTTTTAGTGAATGATAGTCCCAAGGCCTCTATCAACTCTTAAAATCAAGTATTGATTTTGCCACCCCAGCAGTGGGTTAGGTTTTCTGATGGGTTTTCTTTTGTATTAGTGATGTAAACATGCCTTTTTAGAGCTGTCACTTTTTGTGGGACAAACCCTGTGTATAAGTGCCTTTCCTTTTTTTTTGAGACAGGGTCTTGCTATGTAGTGAAGTCTGATCTTGAACTCACTATGTAGCCCAGACTGGCCTGGAACTCACACGATCCTCCTGCCTCCCAAGCGTGCTGAGATTACAGGTGTGTGCCACCACCCCCAGCAGGTGTCTTTCTGTTATTATGTTGACTTTTAAGTGATTCTATGGGACGTTTTACCTATAAGAAAATAGTTAACTAACTTGCCTAGAGTCACACAACTTAGAATTCTGGGAGGGTTGAAAAAAATTTCAGATCTTGATGCCTCCAAAACAAACTACTGCACTTTATGTGTTTTACTAAAGAACAGTTTAACAAAAGATATTCTCAAACATAAGGAAGATTTGGGAAAACATTTTAAAAACCTGAAAGCATTATATAACATCATTTATTTTTTTTAAAGGGTGGTATTTAGTTTCACAATGTTTGGGGACCTGTTTGAAGAGGATTGTTCCGGTGTGTCAAATAATCAGTATGGAAAAGGAAAAACACTAAAGGCTAAACCTTTGGAGCCTCCCGCTCCTAGAGAATTCACCAATTTAAGTGGAATCAGAAATCGGGGTGGAACATGTTACCTCAATTCCCTTCTTCAGACTCTTCATTTCACACCTGAGTTCAGAGGTATGCTCTATTACATGCATTTGAGTAGTAATATGTACCAATGAATTTTACATGTAATCAGTGATACAAATCACAAATAGACAATTGAATATGGATTCCAAAGTATGTGTTTATTATTACAAATGTAAGACATAAGTTGGTGATCCTTTCTGCAGAGAAATGTGAATTTTAAATTACTTTAAATATATTCTGTGTGATTATAGTAGTGTTTAATAACAATTTAAAAATAAGGCAGTGTATTTCTCTTGTAATTCCTATAATTTAAAATACAACAAAGACAATTCTGTCATAAGTACCAGTCCTTATTGTCCCAATATTTGTATTTTTTTAGTTTAAAACTTTCTGCTAAGTAACAAACACCTAAACTCAGATTACCCAAATAACTATATCCTGACTTTTGGAGTGGGAAGGGGTGTCACATTATTTATACACATCCAAAATTGTTTACCGGCATTTCTGAAATCCAGAATGCTCTGACCTTGATCTGATCTTATTTTGTTCTTTTTGAGATAGGGTCTCACTATGTAATTCAGGCTATCTGAAACTCACTACATAGCCCAGACTAGCCTCGAACTCACCGTGATCCTCCTGCCTCAGCCTTCTGAGCGCGGGGATTACAGTCTTGCATCACCATGCCCAGCCTTCCTTGATCTGGCCTGACCTGAACTTGTTTAGCCTAACCTGACCTGGTGTAATACTTTATATTATCTTTCTAAAATAGAAATTTTGAATTCCAAAAGCCCAAAAACTTTAGATAAGGGATCGTGTACAAAGAACAGAAACCCACTCAGATTGGCCACATTTAAAAAGCATTATTGTGGCGGCTGGGCATTTAGGTCAGTGGCGCTGCACCTGCCTTGCAAGCGCAAGGTCCTGAGTTCAATCCCCGGGGTGAGGGGCAGTTACTGTGAAGATAAGAGAACTCTCCAGAAACCAACTGCAAGAAGCCAGTCTGACTTAATTTTCTTCCCTGGTTTCTCTATATGTTTGGCCCATTCCCATTTCTGCAAAGCAGCTTCCTCCACAGCAGTCTTAGTATCTGTGTTCTTTTGAATGCAATGTGAGCAATACTTGGCCTTCAGTTTTACATGTCTCCGTTTGGGGGCCCGAGAGTTACATGACCTTGTGGTATTGAACTCTGAACAATCTCTTTATTCTGAGGACAGATATGACTCATCCTATATCTGAGTGCCACTTTCCTTTCCCATCACCACCCAATTTATCAAATTTTTGTGGTGTCTTCCATTGCTTCTAAGTTTACAGTCATATTTTTGAATCTTTAATTTGGCTTAATGGTGATCTTGGCTTTCTAAACAGTTTTCTAAAATGAAACTATGTCATTTACATCTCTAATTCTACTTTTTTTGTTTAGAAGCTTTATTTTCTCTTGGTCCAGAAGAGCTTGGTTCTTTAGAGGATAAGGATAAACCTCATGCAAAGGTATTACATCTGTGTTTTATGGGGGGTTTTGGGGAGTATTGAGAAGATGTTTTTTAAGGAAGGAATTAAGTTCCTTATTCATAAAAAACAGTAATTTTATTACCAAGTGTTTTTGGAAAGTAGCTTGGCCTATATTACATTTACAATGAAATTTTCCTCCCAAAAAGAATTACTTACCCAAACACCATGGTGCTACTGTTTTATGAACATAACCTCATTCTGCTATGTTTATTCTTCTGATGAAAGTGGTATTTGTACATGACCCACAGTAACCTACCAAAATATCTGTTTAATTACAACAATATGGGGTTGGAGGGAGACCTCAGAGACCAACACTTTTCCATTTTGGTATTCTGGAAATACCTTGAGTGAGGAATTGGTTCATTAGTTTACATATTACTATGGTAAAATTATGTTTAAAGTGCAGCTCTAATCATATTCAAATCTATTTAAACCTAACTCAGAAATCTCATCATTTTCAGGCTCAAATCTATTCTAACAGTAGTATTCATGATCAGGCCAGTACTTCAGAAACTACTGTGTGGCAAAGGACCAGTTTTGGTGCATTTTTTTTCTTCCCAATCTGTTGCAGATCAGTGCTTTTATTGTATATTCTTAAATGTCAGAGGAATGTAAAATTAGCATAAAAGTTTCTAAATGTTTATCCTCCCTTTTTGTTATTAAGAGCCTGGCCTGCAAATCAGACCCCAAGAAGGCATTGTTCATCCCCACCCCTTCCCCCACCATCATCATCTTGAATAAGGCAAAAACAAGACAGGCCTGGAGCCAGGAGAGAGGGGCAGGATGCAACTAGCCCTGTGAAAGGTCCTGACTCCAGAGTGAGATCTGTGTGCTGCAAAGAAAATTCCTGCATTTATCTGTAGGAATATATCTGTATTTGAAATATTTTAGAGAAAAAATGAACTATTAGAGATTCTAACTGCTGCCTATGGTCATTCTGGTGGGTTATTAGGTCTATTTGAGTGTTAATGTTGATTTGAACTATGTCAAGGCAGGAGACTGGATAACTAAGACTTCTTGGATTGAATTAGACTTTTCAGAGAACTAAACCTTAATTAATTCTCCCTTTTAAATAAGAGATTTACAAACATTCTCCTAAATGAAAATAGATGAAAACCAATACACCAGATGTTTTAAAAAGCCTCACTTAGGGCCGGGGATTTGGGTCAGTGGTTCCGCCGCCTGCCTTGCAAGCACAAGGTCCTCAGTTCCATCTCTGGTAACAACAAAAAAAAGCCTCACTTGGTGCTTACAAGAGTTCATTTACAAACACATCATTTCTTGTCCAGGTTCGAGTCATTCCTTTGCAATTGCAACGCCTGTTTGCTCAGCTTCTGCTCTTAGACCAGGGAGCTGCATCCACAACTGACCTCACTGACAGCTTTGGGTGGACCAGCAATGAGGTATGAAAGTCTCTGAGGCAGTGACCAGCAGTAGAGGAGGTTTAGTATGTTACCTGACTTTTAATTTTGTCTGAGAGGCTCAACATATTGTTTGAATGTTTCCTTCTCATGTTAAATAATTACTTGGCAAAAATGTATATATATATTTTTCTTTTGGTCTTTTTTGAGACAGGATATTGTTGTATAGTTCCAACTGGCCTTGAACTCACTCACTATGTAGCCCAGGCTGGCCTCAAACTTGGCAATGATCCTCCCACCTCAGCCTCCTTAGTGCTGGGATTACAGGCATGCACCACCATGCCTGGCTTAAAGTATATTTTTAGAGACAGGGTTCTTTATTGCTGGCTGTGATTTGGAGTTGGGGAAAAGGTTGTAAATATAGGGAAAAGTACAGGAGTTGATTTTTGCATTTTCTACTCTAAAAGTTTTTATGTAATCTAGTCGAGATATAACATCTATTACATGGAAATACCTTAACATTTTTGTGGCAAACTGCTAATCAGCTTTTCAATCTGACTAGCAATAAAGGATAAACTGACACGTAATTTTGTTCTAAATGCTATCTCCCTATGTGATGTGCTTTATTTTTGAATCTGGGTATTCTTATTGGAACATTTACTGTAGTCAGAGCAGTGAAGGCCAGGGATTTAGCTCAGTGGTGCTGCACCTGCCTGACAAGCGCAAGATCCTGAGTTTGATCCCCGATACAAAAAAAAAAAAGCAGTGAAGGCATATTTTGCAGGTGTTTGTATTTCGCCTCTCCTGCCTCATCCCTGACTTCTTTTGTCCTATTGTGTGGGGGGACTCTCATTTTTCTGTGTGTGTCCTAGAAAGTATTCCACTATACACACTAAGCATTTGTCAGCAGTGCATAAAGCCAGTTATCGTCAGTATTGATAAGCTGTTAGCTATATAAATTCAAATAAATCCAGGTCTTCCACTCTATGGTATAGATGTATTCTTACAAAGCCAAATACAGGAAACTGTCACAGAAATTTTTTCCTTTTATTTTGCTCTTTTTTTATATTTTGAAAAAATATAAATATATTTGTATAAGCGAAACCATGTGATATTTAAGCTGGTGTGCCTGATTTATTTCACTTAACATTATGGTCTTAAGGTTTATCCATTTTTCCTACAAATGACTCAAGTTTATCCTTTATAGAAGAGTAGTACTCCATTGTGTATATAAATACCACATTTTCTTTATCCATTCATCTGTTGATGGACATACAGGCTGCTTCCAAGACTTAGCTATTATAGATTGTGCTGCTGTAAACATGGGCATGCATATATCACTGTAATATGATGTCTTTAATTCTTTCGGAAAGACACTTATATGGAAAATAGCAGGGTCAAATGGAATTTCTTATTTTAGTTTTGAGGAACCTCCATACTGGTATCTATAATGGTTGTACATTATGGAAGTTTACATTCCCACCAACAATGTAAGGGGATCTATTTTTTCCTCCCACATCCTCAGAAGCATTTGTTTTTACCTGATTTCTTAATGACAGCCACTCTTTCTGGAATAAGGTGAATCTCAGTGTTGTTTTAATTTGTATTTCTCTAATGGCTAAAGATGTTGAACATTTTTTCATTTATTTATTGGCCATTTGTATTTCTTCTTCTGAGAAGTGTATGTTCATTTCAGTTGCCCATTTTCTAATTGAGTCTTCTATTTTGGGGAGGTCTAATTTTTTTTTAGTTTTTTATGTATTCTAGATATTAGTCTTCTGTCTGAGGAATAGCTGGCAAAAATTTTTTTCCCCACTTTGTAAGTTGTCTCTTTACTATGTTGGTTATTTCCTTTGCTGTGCAGAAGGTTTTTAATTTGATATAATCCCATTTGTTGATTCTTGGTGTTATTTATTGTAAAACCGAACTTCTGTTCAAAATCTATGTCTTCAGGGGTTTTGCCTATTTTTATCTTCCTGCAGATTGTTTCTATTTTAATATTTAGATCTTTAATCCATTTTGATTTTAGTTTAGTAAAAGATGAGAGTTAAGGGTCTAGATTCAGTCTTCTGCATGTGAATAGCCAGTTTTCCGAGCACCATTTGTTTTTTGTTTGTTTTTTGGTACCGGGGATTCAAGCACCATTTGTTAAAAGGCTAACTTTCTGGGCCGGGGATTTAGCTCAGTGGTTCCACCGCCTGCCTTGCAAGCACAAGATCCTGAGTTCAATCCCAGGTACCAAAAAAAAAAAACAAAAAACAAACAAACAAAAAAAAGACTAACTTTCCTCCAGCATAAGTTGTTAACCTTTTGTCAAAAATCAGATAGCTGAATATGCTTGAAGTTGTTTCTGCATCCTCTATTCTATTAGGTTGATCCATGTGTCTGGTGTTTTGTTTTGTTTTGTTTTTTGCCAGAACCCTGCTGTTTTTATCACTGTAGCTTTGTACTATAACCTGAAGTCTGGGATTGTGATTCCTTCCTCCTTGTTCTTATTGCCCAGGATTGCTTTCATTACCTAGGTCTCTTCTGGTTCCATATGAATTTTAAGATTGTTCTCTAGTTCTGTGAGGAAGGCAATTGGTATTTTAATTGGGATTGCATTAAATCTGTATATCAGTTTTGGAAATATGGCCATTTTGTAACTGGGTTCTACAGTGCTGGGAAGTCCTTCTAGAGAATCTTTCTTAGTTCTTCTTGTCCTGAAGAAAGAATTGGACAAAACAAGCTCAAAAGTAGTGAGGTTTCACAATTATTAAAGGTAGGAAAAGAAACAGGCTCTGCAGAGCCAGTACAGGCCAATCAAAAGTAGGAAAAGAAGTGCCCTCGCAGGGTGAGGGTGGACCACTGCAAAAGAGAGCGCTCAGTGGCCAAGAGCTTTATGGTGGCTGCCTTTTGTATACCCTACTCGGGCTGACATCAAGTCTAAACTGACCTATCAAGATCCTGCTTGAATTCTTGTGAGAAGAATTGAATGAAAATAGCACTTTCTGATTGGAGCTGTTTTTCTGCACATGTGCTGGCATGCCCACTCGCTCAGCTGCCTAAACTCCTGCCTCATTTTGACTATCTTAGTTCTGCCTACCCTGGAATAGGGGATATCTTTCCATTTTCTGATATCCTCCTTGATGTCCTTTTTCAGAGAACCGTAATTCTCATTGTGGAAGTCTTTTGCTTCCTTGGCTAGATTAATTCCTAAGTAGCATTTAATTATTCTTGAGGCTGTTGTGAAAGATCATTTCCCTCTCTGGCTGTTGCCTGCTGTGTGAAGGAGTCCCATTGGAGCAAAACGCCGTGCTGCTTTTGCAGTTCTCAGCAGCCATTTCTCCCTGGATCTCCTTGCCCTGGGCACTTACTTTGGTTCTGGGGAGACAAATTCCCCTCCCCACAAGCCACTTGCTGAGAAGAGGGTTCAGATTTTTTTTTTTCTTTCTCTGCATTGTGGACCATCTCTCCAACTTCTCTGTAGCCTCTAATTTTCGTGTCAGTTCCTTCACTATTTCTGACAATCTACTCTTTATTTCTTTGCCAGGTGTTATTTTGTAGTGTCTGGATTCTAGATTTAGGGGAGGCTTAATGTTGCTGTCAATCATCACTCCACCATTTTCCTCCTCCTGAGCTCGTCTCTTTTTTTTTTTTTTTCCTGATACAGGGCCTTACTGTGTAGTTCAGGCTGGCCTTGAACTCAAAGCAGTCCTGCTACCTTCGCCTCCCAAGTGCTGGGATCATAGGCATACATCACCACAGCTGGCTACTTGTCATGTATTTTTAAAATATATATAAGAAAAAGATACCAAGCCCCACACCTTGCTCTAGCTTTCATCCTCTGTCTGCAGCTCACTACATGAAACATTTTTCTGTTATCCTCCCACACCTCCTCTAATTCTGCAGTCTGCATTTGTGCCTCTCCTCCTTTCTGCTTTTCATGGCAAAATCAACAATGACATCCATGTGCTAAGGCCAGGAGACACCTGTCTGCTGTTAGCTGGGTGAGCTCAGGAGCACTCACCACCCTCCTTAGATCCCCAGGTCCTCCTGCTTCCTGGGCTCCCCACCCTCTTGTTTTCTCCCTTCTAGCTGTTCTCTCTCCTTGTCCCCACTTCTAATTAGTGGTGCCCACCTTGACTTTGCTTTATAAATTATTCTTAAGGAGTGGAATTTTTCTTAGTAGCTCTACGTTAGTCTTGTTTTTGTTGGTTATACTTCACAGTAATAAATTCTAGACCTTCTCTAATGGTGATGCCCCATCATGTTCCCCAGCCACTATGACTTCCATGAGGTATCACCTCTTAGACACCAGTTTGAACCTGTCCTGCTCTTCCCTCCTGTCGTCCTTGTGACATGGCCATGTATACAGTTCCCCACAAGGATAAATGCACTTTCCAGTTGTCAGGCAAGTTGAGTTATAAATACATCCTGAATGCTCCCTATTCATATTTTTATTTTATAATATAAATAAAAATAGGTGATGGTCTTTTAACCTGTTTCCAGCTAATTTTGCTTAGTAATCCTTATATCTGATTAAGGCTTATATTGGATTGTATGACAAATCTTGTGTTTTTACTAGTATTATTCTTTTTTTTTTTTTTTTTTTGGTACCAGGGATTGAACTCGGGTCCTTGAGCTTGCTAGGCAGGTGGCAAAACCACTTACTAGTATTATTCTTAAAATTCATGTTTATAAAATCTGGCACACAGAAGTACATTTACAAGTCACCTGTTTCTTAGGAAATGAGACAACATGACGTGCAGGAACTGAATCGCATTCTCTTCAGTGCTTTGGAAACTTCTTTAGTTGGGACCTCTGGCCATGACCTCATTAATCGTCTGTATCATGGAACTATTGTTAACCAGATTGTTTGCAAAGAATGTAAAAACATCAGTGAAAAGCAGGTAAGTATACGAGTACTATAGTATTAAATTGTATTGTAAGTTATTCATGTGATTATGTGATCTGTGATACACAAGTTAATTTATCACTTTTCCCTTTTAACTATGACTGAATCATCAGTTATAAATCAGATTTCTCCATGTAAACTAAAAGAAGCAAATATCCTAAAGGAGTCTTTTAATTGGTATTCTGATGTCTTCGTTACTTTTCTCATTGCTAAGACAAAATACCCGACACCCAAAGTTAAAAAATGAAAGGTTTATGGTAGCTCACAGTTTGTAGAGTTCATAATTGGTGGGCTCCAAGGCAGGGTGGCATGGCAGAGGGCACTGTAGAGGAGAAACAGCTCATGGTGGCCAGAAATCAGCAAGGCACCCAGAAAGTGACCAGCAACAATGGCAGCTGTCTTTCTGTCCTATATATTTTATCCAGGCTGCCTGCCCTTATGGCCAGCCATCTCCTAAAACCCCCACCTAGGACTGCATGAGGCTTTGGGAGGGACATCTAGACACAAGCTGTAAACATCTGATATTTGGGTAATGGTTTTGGAGATACTTACAAGTAGAAGACTGGCCTTGTGAAAGAAGTCAGTGTCATGGTTTGAATATTGTAAAGAAAATTAGGGAGGTAATAAAAATAGAACATTGAGTAATGTTTAAGCTGATAAACCTCTGTGGTTAAATATTGGATTTCGCTTATTAAGTGTATTGTTTGTGCTTATGTTTATATACTATATATAAACTAGTACCTATAAAATTACTATTTTAAATTTTTAATTACTGTTTTAATTTTTATGACCTTCAATTCTTTGTAATAATAGAGATTGCCTGTTTAATCTCATTGGAAATTAGAAATTGGATTTTTGTAAGTACAATGATCACTGTTCACTCTATACATCTTATATAACTAATGATTTCATCACTGAACCCTTTAAGAAAAATCTTTTGTTATGACAAGAGTTGTAGAGCATTTCTCTATTTGACTATATGAATGAAAAATTTAATGCCATTTTCTTTAGGGTTTGTTGCTCTTGGAAATATAAAAAATGTGCGTGTGTGTGTGTGTGTGTGTGTGTGTACACATGTATTTAGTCTCTTTTTTATTTTCACTTTCCTGGTGGTGTTCAGGAGCGAACCCAGGGCTCATACATGCTAGACAAGCAGTATCCACTGAGCCATTCCCCCGACCATCTGTTTCTCAAGAGTTAGATTTTAAAAAAAAACAGTTAGCCCTTATCTGTGCTAATAGAGACTTTCTTGGTCAACCAGATGTAGCGGTTCACACCTGTAATCCCAGCACTCTGAAAGCTAAAGCAGGAGGATTGAAAGTTCCAATGCAGTCTGAGCAATTTAGCAACTTAGTGAGACCTTGTCTCTAAAACAGGAAGGGGGGACTGAGGGACATATAGCTCAGTGTGAAGGCCCTACGTTCAGTCGCCAATAACATGAAAAAAATCTTTCTTGGTTAGTCTAGTCTGAAAACAATTAAGATGTCCTATGTATCTTTGAATTACTGTATGATGGACTTAGCCCTAATGTAATTCACAAATCGCAAAATACAGTGTACATAAAGCATATTGTAAGTTACAGACATTAACTTTTCACACATTATTATAAATATTAAGATGTTTACCATGAACTAATTGTTTGCCAGTCTCCATAATCTTTTTTTTTAAGGTTAGCAATATGAGGGTTTTTTGGTATTTTGTTTTGTTTTGTTTTTTTCTGGTACCAGGGATCAAACTCAGGACCTTGCACTTTCCAGGCAGGCACCGCACCACTGAGCTATATCCCTGGCCCCTCCATAATCTCTTAAAACAATGCTGTTGCATGCATACACAGGGCCATAAATGTTACTTAAACATGCCAAATTATGATAGCATGTATTAATAGAAATATAGTGGAATTAAAAAAAAAAAGAAATATAGTGGAATTCAATGTAGTTAGGTAGAATTAGTAGACTTCCTTTTTGTGAAATGCCATTCTGTTTTGATAGAAATACCTGTTTATCCTAGCTCAAAATAATTTTTTTCTTATAACTTCTTCCCCACCCCCACCCCCACCCCCTAGAGATTGAATTTAGGACCTTGTGCTTTCGAAGCAAGTGTAGCACCACTGAGCTAAATGCCCAGTCCAAACATGATTTTTTTTTTGGTATGGGAAATCGAACTCAGGACCTTGAGCTTGTCAGGCAGGTGCAGTGCCACTGAGCTACATCCTCAGCCCTCTTATAACTTCTTTGGTATGTCTTAAGCCAACCTTAGCCAAAGAAAAACGAATGGAGTTTACATTAGAAAATTCAACCTTGACTTTGCTGTTATACTTCTAAAGACGAAAACAGTCCTAAAAACTGTGTGTATTTAAATTCAAGGATGTATTTTATTGCAGTTTACTTCTTGAGAAAATAGGTCTTATTACATCTACACTAAACTCATAAATTTCTCCTAGTGTTTTCCTAATATATTTTAAGCTGAGTTATAGCTTGATTTAGAAAGGATAATTGAGTGTTAAAAATTTCACCAGTAGCTAGTCAAGACACCTACATTTTCATGCCTACAGTGTTTTAGGAAAAATCTATTGATTATCCCCAGTATATGTTTTCTTTTGTTTTGTTTTTTTGGTACCGGGGATCAAACTCGGGTCTTTAAGCTTTCGAGGCAGGCAGCAGAACCACTGAGTTAAATCACCCCTCAGTATATGTTTGAGTTGGTGATGTGTTTATAAACCTCTGTACAATTATTTTTTCAGTATTCCTGTATCTTTCAGGAAGACTTCTTAGATCTAACAGTAGCAGTCAAAAGTGTATCTGGTTTGGAAGATGCGCTCTGGAACATGTATGTAGAAGAGGAAGTTTTCGACTGTGACAACTTGTACCACTGTGGAACTTGTGACCGGCTGGTTAAAGCAACAAAGGTAATGATGCCTGCCTTTTTCCAGGGCACCCACTTAGTACTTAAGAAAGTCTGTCAGTCAGCTGAAGTGGCCTTATTTGAAAAAGTCTAGGGGAAGCCAGGGTGGTAGTGCACACCTTAATCCAGCACTCTGGGAGGCTGAGGCAGGAGGATTTCAAGCCTAAGCCCAGCCTGGGCAATTTTAGCAACTTAGAAAGACCCTGGCTCAAAATAAAGAAAATAAAATAAAAAAGGGCCAGGGATATACCTCAGTGTGAAGGCCCTAAGTTTAATCCCCAGGACCACAAAACAAAACGCTTCTGGAGGATGGATATACATGAAGCTCTTGACCCAACAAAGCATTGACATTATTATCTATTTTTAAATATTTTGCAATAAAGAATATATTTAAAGCTTTCAGTCTAACAGTTCTCTCAACTTCCTTCTCTCCCCGGAAAAATTGTTTGTACCTCAGAGTTTCTTCAGTATATGCCTTTTAGTATAAACTCCCTGCTTTTGGCAAATTACTGTTATGAAAGAGGCAGTATGGATATGTTTTTATTCCTACCAGCAAGAAGCTTTCTGAGTGTTTCTGTTTCCTACTATGAAAACAGGTGGGGCCAACCATGCCAAGCTTTAGTGTTTTGTTTTAAAGCAGGGAAATAAAACAAAACAAAACATAAAAATCTTACCTGCTTTTGAATTTAAGAGTAGGTATGAAACTTCCATCAGTAGATCTTAACCTTTTAGTTAGGAGTACTTCTGAAAGTCTAATGAAAGTTATGGATCTTCTCCCCGGAAAATACAGATACACTTACATTTCTCATACCACTTCGGGTCTCAGAGCTCCAGTTCTTCACTGCATAAGAACTATGGCTGCTAGGTAATTACATATGGTTGACATCATGGAGCAAGGTGAGAGGCCAGGAGTTGGGCATCAAATAGGCACAGAGGGAAAGGGAACAGCCAGTTATAATGTGGTCATCAAATAGTATTTTGGGGTAGCAACACTAAAACAAGACTAGCTTGCAGATTTTTAGTTGTAAGCCTAAATGAGTAAAGCGGGCTTAGTCCCATAAAATAGATGAGTAACATCTCAAGAGTTGGGAGTTTGTATCAAGACTTAACCATGGTAATGAGTTTATTATGATTTAAGGACATATTTCGCTTAAAATTGTCATACGTTGTTTTTTCATACCTTAAATAACATTTTGTATACTTCATATAACTGCTTTTTAAAAATTTTGTAACTTTTTCTTTTTAACAGTCGGCCAAATTACGTAAGCTGCCTCCCTTTCTAACAATTTCATTACTAAGATTTAATTTTGATTTTGTAAAGTGTGAACGCTACAAAGAAACTAGCTGTTACACATTCCCTCTCCGGATCAACCTCAAGCCTTTCTGTGAACAGGTTTGAATTATTTTATTTTTAAATTACTTCTTTTCCCCTCCCAATATTAAATCTTTATTGTCCTGATTTTTCAGTTGGTTTTACTGCACAATCTCTCAACTTGGACACTGTTAGCATCTTGAGTTAAGTAACTCTTTGTTGTGGGGACTGTCCCCCAAGTTACAGGAAGTTTATCAGCATCCCCAGCCTCTACCTACTAGGTGACAGCAGCATCCCCATTCTCTTTCCCCGACTTGTGGCATCCAAAAATGTTTTCACGCATGGCCAAAAGTCCACATCTCCTGGGAGGAGGGATGGGCAAAATTGGACAGAATTGCCTTAGCGAGAACTTCTGACTTACTGTATATATAGTCCTTTTGAATTTCTAAAGTTTTAATTTGTTCTGTTACTTTTTGAAAAATCTTTGAAATGAAAGATTTCAAAAAAAAATTAGAAATGCTAGCCCTGCCTTTTAAAAAAAATTATTAGTTGGTACTTTGCTATTTGGATTTAGTTCATTTTTTTTTTATTTAGTTCATTTTAATTAACTAGAAAGTGAGAAGGCAGATGGAACTTTATTTAATCTAGAATATATAGATCGGGATGTTGCTCAGTGGTAGAGTACTTACCTAGCATGTGCAAGGCCCTGAATTCCATCCCCAGCTCTGAAAAAAAAAAAAAAAATAGATTTTGTAATCCTATAGACACAGGAAAGAAAGTATTTTGAAAACAGATTAATTGTTAAAGTAGCCTGCTTTATAAGCCCTTTTCTAATACTTTATCATTATTATACATGCTCAGAAAAAAGTAATGAGCCTTATGAATTTCTTATTATAAATCATTCTTGTTAAGAACAGAATATGGATTAGCTATTAAATAATTAATCTTTTATAAATTTCTTTAATTCAAACTTTTCACAGATACATATTCCTCTATTGCAAGCCTAATTACCGAACCTTTACTTCTTGAAGGTTCTCATTGTTTGGACTCGGAGCCTGACTCTGACGTTTTTTTTTGGTTTTGTGAGACAGGGTCTCGCTGTGTAGCTCAAGCTGGCCTCAAACTCATGATGATCCTCCTGCTTCTGCCTCTGGAATGCTGGGATCACAGGCGTGCACCACCACGCCTGGCCTGACTGACTCAGCATGGGATACTCAGAATAAATAATTTTCTCAGAATTAGTTAAAATACTTGCCCCTCCTCTTATAAGAGGCAGTTTATCATGGGATCCCCCCCACCAAGCAGTGCTGGGGGGAATCAAACCCAGGGCCTTTTGCATGCCCAGCAAATAGTGTACCATTGAGCTACAACCCTAGCCACATCACCTGATATTAACATACTTTGATAAAACAAAACAAGTGAAAAAAAAAATTAAACTTGTCTAGGAAATCTTCTTTAATTTTACTTTTAAATTTCTGTATTAAGAAAAAATGTCACCTTGTATCTTTATGTCTCTGTCTTTTGCCTGAGCCAAACATTTTTAAATGCTGCCTACTTAAAAAGTATATTTTATACAATTAAATTTCTCAAATAACTGGCATCCCTTAGGTGGCACACATAGGTACATCTTACATTGCAGATGACACTGAAGTCAGCACCACAAGAGAGCTTACACTGTGTGGCTGACACCCATCAAGGGGGAAGCTTCCTTTTTCTTCTTTGTGAGGGATTTAAAATACCTCTTAATCTAAGTGTCTTGTTATAGTTTTGGGTTTGGGGTTTTTTGTCATTTTTGGTTTTTTGTTTTGTGTTGGGAATTGAACTGAGGAAGCACCAACCTACATCCGCAATCCTTTTCATATTTTAATTTTGAGACAGGATCTTGCTGTGTTGCCCAGATTGGCCCCAAACTCGAAATCCTCCTGCCTCAGCTCCCAAGTAGCTGGGAATACAGGCATTTTGTTTTGTTTTTAATTGGTAATGTTGGCATTTATTTGTTGAGTCATTTGTGATTAATTACAGAAAAGGTTAATCATAGAATTAACAAAACAGTAAAACTCTTCATTCCATGAAACTGCCTCTCAACCATGCCAGCTGGTATTCAGAATCTCTAAGTCCTATTCTGCAGAGGACTGAAGGGTAGGGGGTGATAGTCATCCTGGCTTTGATGGAGGCACATGACAGAGTGATTGGAATGTAGTACGGTCTAGACAGGTAAAAAAAAAACCTCGTGTATGAAGCAGCATAATAGGTATAATACAGGCATGGCTTTCCCTTGCTGAAAATCTCTACTACACACTGACTGATAGGATTTTATGTTGTCACATTCACTTACATAAAAAAGCCAAAGCACATAAAAATAACATCTTTTTCAGATACACATGTTCACACTTAACTAAGAAACATAAATTGATGGCATATTATGATTGGTAGTAAATTAATGAATTAAGAATTTTTGGAGCTGGGGATTTAGCTCAGTGGTTTCCGCCACCTGCCCCACAAGCCCAAGGACTCGAGTTTGATCCCCAGTTCCAAAAAAAAAGGAATTTTTAAATTTAGCCAGGCATGGTGGTGCATGCCTGTAATTCTAGCACCCAGGAGGCTGAGACAGGAGGAACACCACAAGTTCAAGGCCAGCCTCTACTATGGCAAGACGCTGTCTTCCAAAAAAAGAAAAGAATTTTAAAATTTAAAACTTGTTATTTAAATTTGTCTTTATTTACCCTTTAGTAATAAGAACATTGTTATTAGTTTCAGTAGTTAAAATTCTTTTTTCTCTTTGGTTATGTATCTTACTATCTTATATAAACTATATCATTGTTTATTTTCCTTTCTTTCAGAGTAAACTGAATGACTTAGACTATGTATATGACCTCTTCTCAGTTATTATACACAAAGGTGGCTGCTACGGAGGACATTATCATGTATATATTAAAGATGTTGATCATCTGGGAAACTGGCAGTTTCAAGTAAGCATGAAAATATTTTGTTGATGATATTTTGCCATTTTTTTTGCCATTTATTGTAATATGCAACCTGTAGAAAACTTGATAGCACTGAAAGTTAGTACCTGTATGTTTTAAATTTTTATTTCTTATAATAAATAATGTTAAATAGGAAGAAAAGGGGCAAAGAGGAGGGGGAAGTGGGAGGGGTAGGGGAAAGGAAAGAGGGGAATGGAATTAATATGAGAAAATGAAAAAAATGGAAACAAAGTCTTTGTAAATAGGGAGGGATGGAGAGGTTGAAGGGAGGGCAGGGGAAGGGAGGAAAAAAGAACCAAGAGAGATTATGTAAAGGTGCATATCTCCAGTGATGAATGTCATTAGGTTGTACACCTAAAATGTACCAATAAAAGGATATACTAAAAAATAAATAAATAAATTTTTATTTCTTTTTCCTTTCTTTTTTTTTTCCTTGAGCTAGGGTCTTGCACTGTAATTCAGGCTAACCCTAACTCACCATGGAGCCCAGGCTGCCCTTGAACTCGTGGTGATCCTCCTGCCTCCCAAGTGCTGGGATTACAGCTGTATGCCACTATACCCAGCTGAAAATTTTATTTCTAAATAATTTTACTTGTACAGACAAATCAGAATAGTACAGATACCCTTTACCAACTTTTGCAACATTTATGTATATGTGCATGCACATACACATTAATATTATTAGTGCTAAACCATTTGAAATTAAGTTGAACACATCAGACTCTTTTGCCCCTAAATATTTTATTGCTTATCTACCCAAAGCAAAATAATGTCTTACCTAAGCACAGATCAAAATCAGAAAATTTAAACATTGATATACTACTATTATCACTATTGTCTAATATATAGTACAGTGGTACCTGGGCTCACAAACAGTTCTTTCCACAGTTCTGGTCGCAGAATTCATTCCAGAATCATGGAAAGAATTAAGTTTGTGAACCGAGGTATCATTGTAATTATATTAAATTCTATCAGTTGTCCAATTCACATCTTTTATGGAAATGTTTTCCCCTCTCTGGTGTCAACTCAAACATCATGCATTATATTTAGCTACCTGTCTCTTAAGTCTCTAACCTAGAACCACCCTGGACTTTACAGTTCCTCCATTATGACAGAGATAGCATTCTTTTATAACTGGAAAGTGTCGATTTTTTTTCAGACAAATAAAATGAGCGTTGTTTTAGATAACATACAATAGAATTTTGTATCCTGCAGATTGTAAGGGAAAGTGTAATAAAAAACAATCACCTGCCTGTAGCTTTCACAACAGGATTTAAACCAGAGTGAATTTTGTCCTATTTAATATGACTACAACATCATGTCTTTTGTAAGTAGCTCTTTAAAATGGTGCTCACTGACACCAACTAAATGACATTCACAACTTCAGCCCTTCCCTAGGACCACAGAACAGCAAATCAAAACAAACTTTGGTCCTCCCAGAATGGTTTTCTGTGGTAGTTGTTTTCTTTTTTTTCCATTTGAAAAAATTGTCCATTGCCATCTATTGAAATGATCCATATTTCTCCATTAATCTGCTATGCCAGTTCTATCAGGAGTGTTGTGCTGGTCTTGTTTTTTATGCTCCTGTGTACTCTGCTAGAATCCTTTGTCACTGTTGTCACATGTGAATGTGTGCACTTGCATGCATGCACACACACACATACACACCCTGCGGTTCAGAGTCTTCATATATGAACAACATATAGCTTTCTTGAGTGTCTTTTTTTAAGTTTTCTCAATTTTCTCAAAAAAAAATTAAAACATGTAGAATTTCTGAGGGAAAGTACTAACTGGAGTCTAGTTCCTGTGAAATTATGTCTTACATAGACATCAACCCCAAACTCTCAGCCGGGTTTCTAAAATTAGACTAAAACACAGTAAGACATCTATATTTAAGTCACAGTCATGTTAGGATGTAAAGTGCTTAGAGCTTCGCTTACTGATTAACTGTCACCACTGTTGTTTATAAATAGTTTCTTCACATGTGGTAATATGGCTTCCCTTGGAGCCGGTAATGTCTTTGAGGCACATCCCCTTTGTTGACACTCCCCTTGCTGTCAGTTATACTTGGAGTGTACTGAGAGATACATGTATTCTGCACAGTTTGGATGTGAAAAACCTTAAACTATGTTCTACTGTACCAGGTAAACGGTTACCAGAGAGAGGCTGTGTGGCCCTGTGGCTGTACTTTATGCTTTTTGGACTATTGCAGCTGGTTGTTGAAATGCAGTTATCTTTAGTGTATTGGTCTTTAATTTTTTTTGTGGTTGTTACTTTGAGGGGAGGGTTCTTTTTTTGAGAGATGGTCTTGCTTTGTAGTTTAGGCTGTCCTTGAGGTCACTGTGTAGCCCAGGCTAGCCTAAGACTCATGGCAATCCTCCTGCCTCACCCTCCCAGTGCTGGGATTACAGGTGTGTGCCACCATGCCCCACAGCATATTGGCCTTTTAATCAACAAACTCTCTTACGTTATAGCCTCTAAGAAAAGGTATTGCTCTTTCCCCCTTTCTAGTCCTTCGCCTCCATTTCTTTTCCTAGCACACCACTTCTGGGTTGAGAAACCCATGCAGACATCACTGTCAAGGGTTTGTCCCAATTTGCCAAGACATCTCCCCAAGCACATCAGGGAAGCCCTTCTCATCCCTGTCTGGTCTGTTTCAGCCCTGTGTGTCCTATTTAGTTTGAGCTGCTCCTGGTGTGTCACCACCCCAGCACCTCTTTCTTGCATTTTCAGTTTCCTGTAGCAGAGAATCTTAGGCCCTACAGTGGGCACCCTCACCTCCCAGCCCCTCTCCACTTTTCAGTTACAGTGGCCTTATTTCACTCTCTGTAAGATGAAGTTGAAGCTTTCATTTGATCCTGATGGAAGCTAGTCGCCAGGTCTGATAAATGTTTATGATGTTCTCTCTCTTTTTTTGTCCTGCCCACTCCCGCTGTAGTTTTGGTTCTTTCCTTCAGTTAGGACTGCATCTGGTGTAAGCTTTCTTCACTCTCCAGGTCTCTCTGGTCTGAGAAAGTGAGCCTGGAAGCCAGTCCAGCTCCCAGCTGAGGGAGTGTCTGCTTCCCTCAGTGCCCCTTTCAGAGCTGAGCCATTATTCTAGCTGGCAGCATTTGTCCTCAGACTCTTAAGGCATAGCACCTGTTTACAATTTCATTTTTGGGTTTATTGAAATCGTGTGCAAATGAAATAGCTTCACCCCCTCTAATGAGACAACATATTTGAAGATAATGATTCTTTTTGGCTTGTGGCTTCTTGAATATCTCATTGTTATTTGTGTTCATTTCTTCAGCATTAACTAGCACTTTTCTAGCACTGTCAGGATCGTCTGGTTCTTTTATGTGAGTTGAGGGGACAAATGGCATTCTTTTTTTTTTTTGGTACAGGGGGTGGGGGTGGGAGTGGGGATTGAACTCAGGACCTTGCACTTGTGAGGCAGGCACCGGAACCACTGAGCTAAATCCCCGGCCCCTAAGTGGCATTTTTTCACGTGGCTTTTCTCTCTGCACTAGAAGCTCTATTGTTACCTTAGCAAGGTCTTCTTCATGGCATAAAGAACAGTCAGAAGGTTGCTTTCCTTGTGAGCTGAGTATATTTTCCCGTTTATGGCTTCTAGTAAACAGCCTACTTCTTAATTGTTTTCATATTGTAAGAATCACTAGCTTTTCATCCAGAGCTTTGTAGTGTTCAAATAATGACTTAATGGTTTAATAATTTCCCCTTCAAGGTTGAAGGGAGGGTAGGGGAATAGTATAAAAAAAAGAATCAAGATATATCACGTACAGGTACAAATTCCCTGTGATAAATGTGATTGTGATATATATAAAAAATGTACCAATGAACTTAAATCAATTTTAAAAAATAGTAACTTCCCCTTCAGTAGATATACCCACTGGACACTGTGCTTGTCTCTTCACCACCACTGACCTAGGAGACCTCCTGTGTCTAGAGACCAAGGGTTCTAAGTATCCCAAACAAATAGATAGCATTCTTTCTGCCAATAGTTTGGCAATTCTGTCTCCTTTAAGGAGTTGCTATCTGTATACACCTGGTTCTTTGGTAGATGCTGTTTGTAAAGAACAGCTTTGAGGACCAAGCTTAGGCTTTCTCTCCTGAACCCTGACCTTATGAGCATCAAAATGGAAGCTCAAGCCAGGCATGGTGGTGCACACCTATAATCCCAACACTTAGGAAGCTGGAGCAGGAGGATCACCACAAGTTCATGACCAGCCTAGGCTACATAGTGAGTTCAAGACCAGCCTGAACTCCATAGGAATACCTTATCTTAAAAAAAAAAAATTGTATAAAGGGGGAAAGCCAATAAAAATTGCTTACCAAGGGAATTTTGGCATATTCCCCAATAACATCATCAAATGGAGTATAAATTTCTTAAGTGATCAGGAAGAGAATATTTAAGCTGAACCTGCACAAATATGTAGGATTTCTTTACCCCGTACAAATGGGTAAGTACATACTAGATGAAGACTAGAAAATGTTTTGCACTGGATGATAATGAGAATCCAGTATACCAAATTACTTACCTCATAATCCCAATTTGCAAATAAAACTGGGAAGATTAAGTAATTTGTCCAGAATTGTTCAATGAAATTTAGATCTCAAAGCCAAGAGTACCTGATTCCAAAGCATATACAGATTATTATACTTTTAGTACCATTTCTGTGATAGAAACTGTTGTTTTCTTCCTAGGAGCCAGATATGAATTTGAAAGCTCTTCAGAATGAAGACAACATTGATGATCCATTGACAGTTCTAAAAGCAGTCTTACTGCAGGTAGAGTGGGGAGTGTGTGTGTGTTTATATGAGGATATCAGGTTGCATTAGATTCTATTTCCTCAAATGAAAAAATGTCCTCAGTTTAATCATGTCTTCAAAGGCTTCATCTCTACATAATGTAATATTATGAAGTATTGGGGCCGCGGATTTAGCTCAGTGGTTCTGACACCTGCCTCGCAAGCACAAGGTCCCAAGTTCCATCCCCGGTACAAAAAAAAAAAAAAAAAAAAGAATATATATATAGAGAGAGATATAGATATAGATATATTTATTATGAAGTATTGGCGGTTAAAGATTCAACCTATGAGTTTTGAGGAGCTACAATTCATCCTGGAACAGCTACATATTATTGTCTTTTAGAACGTATTTGTACTTTGAAATATTCAGATAAAACATCTTTTTTTTAACTCTTAAATATTTCTTCTAAAAATACTAAATAATGTCAGGAATTTACCAAACCTCAGGTTATTTCTCTTTAAATGGTTAAACTGTGTTGCCTAGAAAGTAGCAAAATTCAGATTTTCTGAACTGAGGCTTATGGTACTTTTTTAAAAAGATGTATAATAATTATGATTAATCCGCTTACCATATTTGTGTTTAGGGTGCATTTAATTGTTGATTTCTTTGAATTTGTGTTGCAATTATTTCTCATCAGATTTTCTTAGGTGACTGTGTATTTCTTTCACCAGGAAGAGAATAATCTGATTCCTGTTGATCAGCTAGGCCAGAAACTCTTGGAAAAGATAGGGACATCTTGGAGCAAGAAGTACAGAAAGCAGCATGGACCACTGCGAAAGGTACTAAGTGCCATTGAGTAGGAAGACCTAGTCCCAGAGGAGAAATTGTTATGATCTCTACTGCAAACCCCCAGCAGGAGGGCATTTAAAATAGGTGAGTTTTAGGGCCAGCTTGGGCTGCATAGCAAGTTCTAGGCCAGCCTGGACTACAGAGCAAGACCTTCTCTCAAAAAATAAAAAAGCAAAAAATTAAAATAGGTGAAAATAAAATCAGCATTTTTGCATAATGGTTATAATTTAGCTGTTATTTCTTGTTGTTTTTTGAGATGAGATTCTTTATGTGTAGCCAAGGCTGACCTCAAACTCAGGATCCTCCTGCCTCAGATTCCTGAAAGCTGGGATTACAAGTATAGGCCACCAAGCCCTGCTTAAATTACTTATTAAGTATTACTTTATAAATTATTAAGAAGTAAACAAAAAAAGGCCTTGCCTCCTAAACACAAAAGCAAAAAAGTGTTGTCACCCTACTGCTCAGATTTCTTATATCCTGAATCACCTGTTTTCGTAGGTAGTGAATTCAGATGCAAACACTGATAGTGTCACAAACCAGCGAGCACAGCTCCATTGAAAACAAGCAAAGGAACAGAACATTAGTGAACATTTGGGAGCTACTTTGCATAAGAGCAAAGCGTTCACCTCAATAAGTTTAAATGCATCTTTTAATTAGACTATCAAATATTAATTTTCTGTTACTTGCATTATTTTGGAGAATTGTGTCTAAATTTTTTAGGGAATTTTTTTTTTGGTACCAGGGATCAAACTCGGGACCTTGCACTTGCAAGGCAAGCAGTGGAACCACTGAGCTAAATCCCCAGCCCTTTTTAGGGAATTTTTATTTTTATAGTGTCAAATTGGCATAAAGTTGTTTAAAATGTTCCATATTAATCATTTTTGTATTTATAGAACCTGAAGTTATGTTCCCTTTCCATTTCTCATATTAATAATTTGTATTTCCTTACTGTTTTATTTTCATCTTTCTTGTTGGGAGTTACCAAGTTTATTTTCAAAAAAGCAACTTTTGCCTTTGATATAATTAGATAAAATCCTATTGATTTTCTCTACTGCTTATCTGTTTCTATTTCATTGATTTTTCCTCGTCTTTATTTCTTCCCTTCTACTTTCTAGCTTTAATTTGTTCATCTTTTTCTAGCTTCTTCGTTTAGTGTCTTGCTTATTAAATCTTTCTTTTAATACATTCTTTTAAAACTATAAATTTTAGCTGGGTGTGGTGGCACACATCTGTAATCCCAGCACTCTAGGAGGCTGAGGCAGGAGGATAGAGTTTGAGACCAACCTGAGCTGTGTAGTGAGTTCAAGGGTACCTTGGAATTCATCTCAAACAGAAAGCAAAAAGTGAAAGATTTCTTTCTACACAGTAATTTAGCTACAGATATATTTGACATGCTTTCATTATCATTTTGAAATATTTTGTAATTTCCCTTAATCCCTTTCTTATATTGACCCATGAGTCCTTTGGAAGTGTGCTTCATGTCTGAATATGTGAGAATTTCTGGGTGTTTGTTTTGTCTATAAATTGATTTCTGATTAATACTTTGTGTCTTTGTCACTTTCCCACCACTGAAGTTTATTTTGGCTCAAGGTTAGTCCCTGGCCAGCTGGCTGGCTCCAAGGCAGAAGTGGCCTGGAGAAAGGGTATGGGCAGAGGAAGATGGCTCAGATCACCATAGCCAGGAAGCACAAACGAAGGGAGGAGCCAGGGAAGAGAATCTCTCTGTCACGGTCACGGTCACCATCACGCACCCCAATGACCTCTCTGACCAGGCCCCCCCTCGCAGCGCCTCAGGTCTGAACCCAATAGTGGACCACTGAGGAGTATGATGCCCTCATGATCCAGTCACCTTCCAGAAGCCCTGCCCCTGGGCACATGAGAATTTGGGGGGACAGTCCAGGTCCAAACCACAATACCATGGCACTTTGGGAATGTTCTTTGTACAATTTCAGACCTTTTAAACTTGATGAGACTTGTTTCATGGTTCAGAGTATGATCTATCTTGCTGAATGTTCTGTGTTCATTGGACAGAGTTTTCTTTGCAGTTTTGGGGTATAGTGTTTCATAAATGTTAACTGGATCTCAATGGTTAAGAATGTTCTGTATTCTCTGCACTTCTATTTTCTGGTCTTTTTGCTCTGTCAATTACTGAAAGGAGTTTTAAAAGCTCCCAACTAGCCAAGCGTGGTGGAATGTGCCCAAAGTCCCAGCTACTTGGGAGGTTGAGGCAGGAGATCATTTGACCCTAGGAGTTTGAAATCATCCTGGGCAACTTAACAAGGAAAAAAATCTCCCAACTAAAATTGTGGGCTTTTCCTTTCCTCTTTTTTACAATTTCTGCTTCATTTATCTTGAAGCTGTACTACTAGGTACATACACATGTAGGGTTGTTGTGGCCTCCTGACATGAAATGTCCTTTATGTCTGCTAATATCTCTTCCTTTGAAATACCTTGTCTCATGTTTCTGTGGCTATATAAGCTTTCTTTTGTAAGTGTATCTTAGTAGGATATTGATTCTTGTTTGTTTCGGAAGATACAGGTTTAAATGAATTTGTTCCTTTATGTGAAGTGTCAAATTTATTACTATAAAGTTGTTTAAAATAATTACCATATTATCTTTTTAACATCTATGGGATTTGAAGTTATGTTCTTCCTTTCATTTCTGTTATAATTGTACCTTTTAAGCTTTCCTTTTCATTGGCCTTGCTAGGGATTTATCAAGCTTATTAAACTTTTTTTTTTTGAGACAGTGTCTCACTATGTAGTTCAGACCATCCTTGAACTTGCTATGTAGTCCAAGCTAACCTCAAACTCACATTGACCCTCCTTCCTCAGCCTCCTGAGTGCTGGGATTACAGCATGTGCCACCATGTCTGGCTCTTAATTTCCTTTACTGTTTTTCTCTTGTGAATTGACTGTTCCATCTTTTAAGAACCAGTGTCCTGTTTCTTTTCATGTCATGTATTCTTTTATATATTTTAATTTTTAAATGATAAATTAACAAATTATAGTTGTAGGTATTTATGGAGGAAAAAGTGATATTATGATTTATTAATATAAAGTAGAATATCGATCCCCGGTACCAAAAAAATAAATAAAGTAGAATGAATAAAGCCAATTAACAAATCCATCACCTCAGATGTTAAGAACATTTGAAATTTACTATCTTAACGATTTTGAAATATATATTGTTACTCACTATATTCACCATGCTATGGAATGTATCTTAAAAGAAAAAAACTTACTCCTCCTGTGTAATGAGGCTTTGTACCTTGTGACCATTGTTGCCCCGTTGTCCCACCCCTTGGTTTAATCTGTTATATACTGAACATTGTTTTGGGGAGACTCTGGATTGGGTTATTTTTCACAAAAAGAGTTCTACATTTCATTCTAATCCCTAAACCAGTGATGGTGAGCCTTTTAGAGCTTTCAGTGATAACAGCCTGCTGTAGTGTGCTGCCATAAGTTCACCACCACTGCCCTAAACTATTTTGAATCTTTTTTGACCCTGTGGAAGCTTCATTTGTGGCTTTGGTAAGATAACAATATTGCAATTTTGTGTTTAGTCGTAGAGAATAGCCCTTAGTTCTGGGGCATGGTCTTTCCTCTTAGGGGAGGCTTAGCAAATGGTCCTGTGGGCAAAATTTGGCCTCTTGCCTGTTTTTGTATAGTTCCAAGCTAAGGACAGTCTTTACATTTTTAAATGGTTACTTTTTAAAAATTTATATAAGTACCTACATAATGTCCTCAATTTGACCTCTAAAATCTTTATCATCATCTGGCTGTGTGAGAAAAAGTGCCATCCCTTTCTAACTTGGCACAATCGAACTCCATGGCTTTTCTGCTCAGCAGCAGGAAGCTCTGTTCAGACAGAGAACCTCCTAACTATTGCTTCCTGCTGGGTTCTTTGTGACCTTTTCACCAGTAGGGGTTAGCCAAGAATTTGGAGGATTTGACATAGATATGGGGCACATTTATGGAATTTTTCTCTGACACTCTCCAGCCTCGCTGGCACTCTCAAATTCTGCCTCCTCACCTAGCCGAGACTCCTGCCTTCTGCTTGAACTCTGTCTCCTTGAACCATAGCTGCTGCAGACCAAGGTAGATTAACACAGAAGTCACCTAGTTTGCCCCCCTTTTTGGGAGGACTATGTTCACCCCACTTTGTGGCTAATTTGGTTACTCTCCTGACAGTCATTTTCATTGTTTATCCAGAGTTTGTCATTTTTATCAGGAAGATTAGTCTTATGAAGCTTTCTGCCATTGCTGGGACTAGTTAGCACTGAAATTTGAGATGTAAAAGAGTTAATCCCCAACTATCAAACAGAAAAAGTTGACTATACACAAAGTTCATTACTCAGTACTTTCAAATTGTTATTTAATTGTCCCTAAAACAAATCAGTTAAAAAAACTTTTATTTTACTCTGTTCTCATGCACAGTGTTAACAATATTGTCTTTGGGTCATACTCTTAGGCCCTTCTGTTTGTGGTAAAATAATACTTTTGATTACAGCACTGACTATCACAAATTATTTTCAGAAAAAAATGAGTCCCCTTTGCATGTTGACTGATGAAGTAAACAAATGTCATGGTTAGCTCTTTGTGCTCTTGTGTATAAAGGCATTCCTGCCAGAGAAAAAGAGGAGACCCAGGTTAAGGAGTAAGAGAGAAGAGGCGAGAGGGCGAGGCAGGAAGTGGAGAGAGATTGTTACTGGTAGTGTAGTCACCAGTTGGTCCTTTCCAGGCCCTTACTATCCCGATTAAAGAATTGGGCAGAACAACTGATGAAGGTGAAAGTTTAACATTTGTTTAAGGAAAATGAAGTGCAAAGGAGTGCTCAAGAAGAAAAGGTGTTCTGCAAAGAAGTGCTCTGAAGAGTGAGCATAGGCCAGTTAAAGTAGAAAGGGAAGTACGCCCTGCAGAGTGAGGGCAGGCTGCTGAGGCTACTCATAGCAGCCACGAGCTTAATGGTGTCCGTCTTTTACCTCCT